CAATTTTCAATGATTGCTTACATGGCCTTGTGAACAGGAAGGTGGACTACAAAGTAGGACAATTTCATATCTCATTTAAATCAGACATTTCACCAATCTGGTTAGACATTAATTAGATACAGATAAATATTTAGATGTCACGAATAATCTAATGACTCAAACTGTAAGCACATATGAGACAGTAACACAGAACAGAAAACCCACTCAGCCTAAGAGTAAAAAATTGCAAATTTTTTCTATAACCTCAGACATACCAAGGTTTATGAGCACTTCATTTGATGCTGGTCCAAGCCCTGCCTTGTTTTGTGCCCTGACTCTTGCACTATACTTTCCTCCACTTCGCAGCTTTACATGCAACTTCTCAAATGCAGTGTCTTTTGTTTCAACTGTGTGAGGTGAATTCCACGGAAGTCCACTTACTATGTACTGAATAATGTATTTTTCAACTACAGAACCACCATTTTCTGCAGGAGGGTCCCAGTAAAGCCTAATGAAGGTTTGTGCACTTTTAGTGTTAAATACTACTTCTGTCTTGAGATTTCTGGGTTCAGATGGTGCACCTGCGATGGAAAACCAATGAAAAACATTTGGACAGCATAAAAAGAAGAGGGCAAAAGTTGTGAACTTTTTGTGAACTGTGCTATAGCCCCAGCAAAGACTTGGTAGGTTGATACCAGGTTTTTAGCCAGATGGGTGTGCAGGCATCCTGTGGACAGCCACTTACTAAAACAAAATTGTTTTATTTTTCATATGTCGCCTTATAAATAGCTCATTTGAGCAGGCCCTATAGCACATTTTGGACTACCACTTTTCAAATTCTGGCTAAAAGCCTGGTTGATACCTCCAAATCCCATAGGTGTAACCAATTCTCAACATTACAAAGAAACTCTTGCTTTTTTTCTTCACTCTCTTTTGCTTTTAATTCTTACAAGCTTTAACCAGTACAAAGCTTGATTAAGGCTGTTTGTTTTCTTAAACTTGATATTTTTATGGGACTGAGCAATATAACACCTACTTAGTTTGGTTATGTTGATTATGTGGAATTTCACTGTTGACTTGGTTTCTGCCTTGCACTGCAATGTCTCGAAGTCTTCATCTTTGTTTGTGGTTATTGCCAAGAAGCTTTTACTTCTCATGTCGTCATGGAATTCTCTAGGCACAGTTCTGTTTGATGGTATATGCGTCCAAGAAAACATGACATTCTTTTGAATGCTCTCAGGCACCTTAACTGCACAGACCACTGTAATCTTACGGCCCACCCAGGACTCAGCTACCTTTGTTGAATCTGCCTTGTTTATCAAGAGATCTGAAAAATAATAAAATGTTCTAATTATTGTATTGGACATTACCAATGAGCACATGGAGTAAAGTTGTACATATGACATACATGTAACTTCAATTTATTCTTTGCAAGAACCTAAACTGACATCCCTCAACTGTAGTAAGTACTGTAAAACCTGATGTGTATATACTGGTTGTATCATAACTTCTTATTATTACTAAGTGAAGTCTTGTGAGTTATATTCTAAGACTGAAACCTTGTCATATTCACCAAGCAATAGTGAGGTCAGTATGGCAAGGAAGGGTTTGGGATTTTCCAATTAAGGTTACCGTATACCTTCAGGGGTGTCTCGCGTCCAAGCAATGCAGCGCATCTGGTTTAAGCGGTAGATACCTAAGCCCCATATCAAATTAAAGCTTATAGAGCTGGCTATCAAACTATACATAGAATTTTGAAAAGAAATGAATTGGAGTTTTCCGTGGTCCATGTTTACTTATAACTTAATAGAATTACACCTAATACGAAAAATGCTTGGATTAACAATGCTGATCAACTGAGTAGAGGCGAGTAGCCAGCCAATTCATGGTATCCATATAGGTAATATTCCCACAAAAGTGGTCTCGGTTGATTGCATACGTGTTATAGGGCTGTCAATCAAGAGGGAACTTTCACTTCCGGCTATAACGTAAAACCTCCATTTCTCCGCCAATATTTAGTTTTTTTCATTTTTTTTCAGAAATTAGAGATTACTCTTCGACCATTACTTTGACCCAAAAATCCAAATTTGAAGAAAATTGCCGATCTGACTTAAAACATCATTGGTAGCACGTGCCGTCATGGAAACAACAACATACAATTTTAAAATAAATAAATAACAATTTGAGAAAATTTTGCAAAAAAATATTCCTATCTTAAAAAAGCCCCGGCAAAATAGGCCAATTTCGATCTCTGATTCTGATATGTTAAAATTCTAACTTGGCTCCGATGCTTCTTCGGTTCTTCCTATGCACCATGATGCGAGTGACCTTACTGATTGATCTCCTTAGTAACGTACGTAAAAACTGATGTAAGAATCCCATCTTGGTTTAAAATTTTACCTTGGCTCCGAAGTTGAAGGGAATAAAACTAAACAAAATTGAGTATTCTTCCCTCATCCTGGATGCGATTTCTTTTGTTTTATCCCCCTATGCCTCGGAGCCAAGTTAGAATATTAATATATCGAAATATTAATCGCTTAATCAGTTTAATGAAAAGTTTGAATTGGCATACGAGGATAACGCTTCCTCATAAACTTCCCGCGCAAACCCTTCACTTTCTTCAATCTTTTTCACAAAATATTCACGTGTTGCAAAGAAATCCATGTAGTAACCAGTACTCTTATATAGCAGGAGTTTTTTCCCCAATAGCGCGCGCCCTCTTGGAGGCCACAAGACATTTAGCAATGAAAGGGAGTCTAAAGGTCTCTGTTCAAAACGTCTCAGTGCAGGCAACTTTAAAACTCTATGACGTCAGAGCGTGACAGTGCACTGTTACCCAGCGAATGTTGATAGACCACCGTCGTTGCACGTGAAATCTACTAATGTACCATCTAACAAAGCACCTCATAATTGGTCCCTCGAAAGACCAGTTAATTTTCCCCGGAAAACATTGAGATTCTCGGGAACAAAAATAACTGTTTCCCTCAGGACCAGTCATTAAGTTTTCATAATTGTACACGGGTAAAATGCTACACTATAGTAAAGCTTAGTAAAACCAAACACTTCATCTTAACTACAAGTAAACAAACAAACTTAGCGCGTGTGATGGAGGTCTCGAAGTCGACATCTTGCAAAAGAGCTTTAACAGCAACGTCAGATGATTGAGCAGAGGATAAGATGAGCTTGGCTTGTTCAGAGGCAATGCTCAATCGATGAAAAGCTGGTTCTTTGGTGGTGATATCTTTTCCGTGTTTCTTCATTATTTCTTCTCTAAAGTAATCTGCGACTTGTAAATCAAAGTCCCTTCCACCTAAATGGGTATCCCCACTTGTGGACTTGACTTCAAAGATTCCTTCTCCTATTGTTAGAATGGAAACATCAAAAGTACCACCTCCGAGGTCAAAGACAACAACCTTTCTTTCCTGTTCGGATTTTGTTGCGAGTCCAAAGGTGACGGCAGCAGCAGTTGGTTCATTCATGATATTCAAAACATGGAGACCGGCAATAATACCTTAAAAATGACAAGAATACAGCAAGGGTTATGCAATGTAATGTGAAAGAACTACTAAAGTATGTTTTTCTCTAAGACTTAACTAATTCGTCGTAATTCATGTACACGGCAAAGTGAAACACTTTGGGCACTTTCCATCGGAGCAAAAATAATTGCAGCACATTTTCAGTGGCGAATTGACCAGCATTTCATGGGAGGACAACCTTGCGAGGTATACCAAGATTTTGGAAAAATCTTTATCGAGAATTTCCGTCCCATTTGATTTTCACACCCAAATTTCCAGAATTTTTTAATTGAATGGTTGGCATTTCGGAAATTTGACAATTCCCGGATTTTCTGAAAACTTTTCCAGGAATTTTCTCTACCATTTTCCCCATGTTGCGAAAGTTGTCGAGCTTTTGCCATGTGGAAATTAAAAACGCCCGTTGTCCTATTCAAAGAGACTGAATCAAGTAA